AGTTCAAGACGTTAACATTAGCATTTTGGATGTCAAATGAGAAATAGGAGTTGTATATTCCTACTGTATAGAGTTCCTATGAATAAAAAAGGTTGCTTTTTTATTTCTAACATACTTCCATATTTTAGGAAAATACAGGGCCAAATTTCTTCGATCTTCCTGAATAAAATATAAGGAGCAAAATCGAGCTCTAAATCCATTAAACAACATGGACCTCCAAAACATCAGAGGTGGGATCAGGTTAAATGGAGAAGTGAGATTATCCCCTGCCGACCACTCACACACGCCGTTTGCTCATTGTCATTTTCGGGAAAACACGGAAAAATCCGTCGTCAATTCAGTGTGTAAATATGGACCTAACAATCAGTATGAAAAATATTGTTAGCATTTGACCAAATAGATTATTTATGATGACAACGAAATTGTCTCGACCAGACAACTTCCGAGATGATGACTTTAAACGAGGCTGCTGATATTCTTGTTTCATCTACATGTTTGTATATAATTTACCTCGTTTGAGAAAGTATCCATTCGCAGAACATGCTTTTCCCTATCGAATCAACTGAGAGATAATTAGTCCGTATGCAGGTGTCAAGGGTATACTGATGCATAAGTAAGGACTTTGACGATTGAAAAGTTAGACATCACTGTTATCATAAAACTTTTCTGTTATACAGTCATTTATGTCTTTTTCTAGTAAAATATCCAAATATGAAACAGAAGTATCAGACTTTGTGATATATTTTATTTCAAGCTCACCGGGATATATCGTGTCGATATAAGAATGGAAATAACCAATGGCAATTGACAATACGTCGTCGAAATACTTAATGCCGAGTTGAAGACCATAGCATGACATTATTTTTCACCTTTTGAAAAGGATTTTGAAAAATTTCAGCTTGATATGAATACAAAAACAGGTCTGCTAATAACGGGACGAAATTGGAACCCATGGGAATTCTAGTAAATTGTTGGAAGACCTAAAGATAAATGATAAAAATAATTTTTCTCATTTTTCTCATTTGACCTTCTAATTGCTTATTTTCACTTCAAGAACGAGTGAAACATTTTCCTGAATTTTCTATAAAAATTGGCGAATACATCCGTATCAGTGATTTTTTTCTCAAACAACATATATAATATGCATCGATTAAAAAGTGTTTTCTCAAAGAATTTCACACATTTTTAGAAATGAAAGCTTTAATAGATACAGCTTTGAAAACTATTCCATTTTAGAATGGAAAAAATAAGTAAAAGAGTGCCGACAAAATTTACAGCTCCAACGGCAAAAAACGACTTCTCCACATGATTGAAAATTATCGAGAAGGACGTTAAACAACATACAAACAAACCATGAAAACGATGAATTTTCAGTTACCTTGAAAAACAGTCAATTACAATTAAGTTTATAGTTAGACAATGTTTTTGATCAGTAAAATATTCAAATGTGAAAAAGATGCCGCAGGCACTGTGTTGTCTTTTATGATATATTGAATTGACGGTGATAAATTAAGTTGGCATAAAAAAGTAACTTTTGCTATTTGTCATTTGATAAAACACTGTCGATATATCTAAGTGTTGGTTTGTAAGTCACAGCAGTTTTCTTTTTTTAGCGTAGAAGTGTTTCCATACTAGTATACTTTTTGTTTCATGATAGGCATAACAGTTCGGCCAATAAGAAGCACCATGATTGCCCACCATAATTCCAAAGGAATGTAGAAAAATTTGGACTTCCACAGACTACATAGATATTGTCAGTGATAAACATCACCATTTTTTTAATATCAACTTCAAAGTAATGTAGAATCAGAGTGATTTTGAACCTATTTTGTAGAAGACCAATGAATTAGAGTTCAATTTTCATTGTAAAAGCAGTTGTCAATGATATCAAACTGTATGATCCTGGATTTATTCTGATGGAAGTTTGTATAGAGCATTAGAATTAATGTTGCATGTTTTGATGATGCTGATTTTCAAAATGTTATGAGATTTCAAAACTTTGAAATGTTTTTTACAATATAAATAAAGTTTACCATTATCAAAATCATTTTAGAATTTATACAATGTCCCTTCTATTAGTTCATCATGTCCCGTTAGGTAAGAATCCTATCAGGTGGAGAAACAAGGAGAAACAAGATGTGTTTGTGAAACACTGATGCCCCCGTACTGCAACATAGCGAAGGTGAAGCTTTCTCAAATGCAGATCAAATACGAAGTATTTACTAGTATATATAAATTGGTACCTAAAGTAAGGTCTTTTCACAAGAAATATAAATGTGAAATATAAAACCCTACAACCACCTGTTCTAAGGTTATGACTAAGGTTTACATTTTTAAAGGTCCGGGGTCAAGGTCAAAGGGTAGAGGTTGTTGGTTTTTAAAGAAAGGCAGTGTCTTTAAGATTACATATGGGAAGTATGAAAGCCCGTTCAAAAATTAAGGCCAATGTTCAAATTTGTACGAAAGCAGTGGCAAAGGTTAAAATTTGTTAAAAGAAAGTCAAATTCCAAGGTCAATGTCAAAGGGTTAAAGTTGATGATATCCAATGAAAGGTCTTGTCACAAGGATTACATATGTAAAGCATGAAAGCTCTAATCTTTACCGTTCAAAAATGATGGTCAAGGTTAAAGTATTTTTGCAAGTACGAAAATCTCCAAGATCAATGAAAAAAATTTGGGTTTCAAATGAAAAGTCTAGCCCCCAAAAATGATATTTGAAATATGAAATTCCTAGTATCTACCGTTTCGAAATTAGTGCCAAAGTAAAAGATAGGGTTTTCTTTGTAATAATGGGTCAACATCCCAGGTCAAAATCAAAGGGTCAAATTTCTTGATATCAAATGAAAAGTTTTGTCACAAGGATTAATTATGTGAAGTATGACGACCCTAGTCATAGCCCTTCGAAAATTAAGGTCAAGTTTGTATTATAAAAGTAGGTCAAACGCAAAGGTCAGGATCAAAGAGTCGACGTTCTTGGTATCCAGTAAAGCGATCTCTCACAAGGATTACATACCGTAAATCTGGAAATTTTTACGTCGATTTATTTTTGCGAATTTGGTTCAAAAAGCTGTTGATTAATTTTTACGCTTCAAATTTTTGCGAATTGTCACTGGTGCTAAAAATAAAAATCACTCAAGATTTTCATATCAGGTTATGTTTCAAATAATATGCCTAGTTAGAATACCACCAATATACTCGCAACGTGGCAAGATATTGCAAAATCGCTCCGAAACAATTTTGATAAAAATACAAAAGGATCTGCACTGAAAATAATTTCTTAATCAATTATAACAAACATTTTAGAGGTTGTGTATGCCTTTTAACCTGAAGTATAATCCAAAAGAAGAAAAAATACCGGTATAACTAATTTTCTCGACGTTTGGTTTTTTTCTCACCTAAAATTTACTCGCCGCGTTTACATTTGGAACTTTCTAGGAAATGCACTGAGTTTGAGTTATCGCCCGTGTTGATACACGGTTAGATAAAATGACAGTTCTCTCTTTATTCAATGGCAAATTAATTGATGAAAATAATTTTTAAAAAGGGCATACCGCCTCAGTGCTTGTCAAATCATCGGACGATATTGCATATAATGAGAGCAATTTACACGCACTCGTAATTAACTTGAAGTTATATAGTAGACTAGTGTTAACAGGTTTCTTTTAAAAATGACCAGTGCTTACCGACGCCTATTCACTGAGTTAAAAAACGACACGAGTTCTCAGAAAAAAATTCTTCACATGTTGATTTATTTTTAAGAAAAAAATTTTTGCGAATGCAAGGTACGCGCAAATTTGCTAAAAATTTATCTACAGTAAAAATTTCCAGATTTACGGTATGTGAAGTATGAAAGCCCTAGCCCTTACTGTTCAAAAGTTATGGTCAAGGCTAATTTTTTTCATAAGTACGGAAATCTCCAAGGTCAAAAGGTCAAAGTTGTTGATACTCAATGAAACGTCTTGCCTATGACGTATAAATTATATGAAGTATAAATGTCCTGGTGTCTACTGTTCAAAAGATATGACCAAAGTAAAAGTTTTTGTGTAAAAGTGGGTCAACTCCAAAGTAAAGGTCAAAAGGTCTTGTCACAAAGAATACACATGTGAAATTTGAAAGCCATAGCTTTTCTAAATCTAATGTTATGAGCTAGGTTAAGGGGTACCGACTCTCTGATAAGATAGATAACTTTCAAAGTACAAAATGTGAATATTACTAACAGTTTTCTTAATTAGAATTTCCTAATTGAGACCTCTGAGTAGTCATTTCGATGAAATCTAACATATGATGAGACAATTACTATCTATTTCTTTTGCCAATTTATTTACAATTGTTTATTAAACAATAAAACATTTAATTGCAACTTCAAAACCTTATAAATTGAATAAGTTGTATCTTTTTAAGGACCATTTTGAAATTGGTTTAATGTTGCAAGTACTTTATACAACATTTTTGTTAGTATGACATTTTTTCACAAGGAGAAATATTTACAAGAAAGATAACTCCTCCTCATAGATTAATTTTTTTTTATTACAAACACACAACATGTGTGATTTTCAGACTTAGGAAGCATCGCTTCATAATATTTTTCTAACATGAATTTAATAGGTATTTTTTAAGTATTATTTTTATATGCACCTCATATTTTAAATTTAATTTTGTGATGATAAATCGCTACTCTTTCTATTCTCTGTATTCAATATCTTCATATCATGATCTGACATAAAAATCATATGTGAATAAATAAGCAGCGTTTCATACTTCAAACTATTTTCCACGTGACTCTAATGTTGCAGTTCTTTATGAAAATCAATATTACAATTTTAAATTTTTTAATTTGAAATTTATAGCAGAGGGTCGGGACCCCTTAAAGTTTTTACAGAAAAACAGAGAGACAGACAGAGAGAGAGAGCTAGCTAGACAGAGCGACAGATGGACAGACACGACAAAAACTATATAGAAAATAAAGCAATGATTGATTGACATAATTCTCATTCCATTTAGACACTCATTATAACAACACGTTAGTCAGACTGGTGAATGGAACCTTACCCTCAAATGGACGAGTTGAGGTGTACTATCATGGTGTATGGGGTACAATATGTGACGATGACTGGGATGATAGTGACGCTGCTGTTATCTGTGTGATGCTGGGATATACAAGGTATAAAATCTTCTCAACATTTAAGACTTAATACATATAATGAGAAGATGTAAATATGTATGTCATGAGTTATGTATATTAATATTGTTGCAGATTTAACGAAAGCCGCTTTTTCATCTAAGTTGACAAATTTCAAGTTTTCAAAAGAGAAAGAGAGGAAATCCTTTTTTATGCCCCCGTAAATTAAGTTTCGGAGGTGTATAGTTTTTGTCATGCTCGTCCGTCCGTCCGTATGTCTAATCTGTCTCTCTGTCTCTCTAACTGTCTGTTTATCTGTCTTTCTGTTTGTCTGTATGTGGAGCTACGAATTTCACATGCGTATTTCTTGTGACAAGACCTTTTTTGGGGTGCCACAAAATTTAACCTTTTGACCTTGACTCTGCAGTTTGACCCACTTTTACACAAAAATTCCAAACTTTTCATTTGGCTATATCTTTTGAACAGTAGTAACCAGGTTATTCACACTTCACATATGTATTTAGTGTGGCAAGACCTTTCATTGGATACCTCCAACCTTAACCTTTTGACCTTGACCTTGCATTGGAGATTTCTGTATTTATGAAAAAACTTTAACCTAGGTAGTAACTTTTGAACAGTAAGGGATAGGGCTTTCATACTTCATATGTGTAATTCTTGTAAAAAGGCCCTTCATTGGATACAAAGAACGTTGACTCTTTTACCTTGACCTTTGAGTTTAACCTACTTTTAAAAAACACCTTTACCATATATTTTAAAGGGTTGAGCTAGTGCTTTCATACTTTATTTTTTAAACGTTGTGACAAAACCTTTCATTTGATACCAAGACCTTTGACCCTTTGAAATTTACCTTGGACTTTGACCTTCTTTTTAAAAATTTAAACTTGATCATAACTTTTGAACGTTTAGTTCTAGGGCTTCCATAATTCATATATGTATATTTTTGTGCCAAGACCGTTTTCTTGATACTAATAGCATTGACCTTTTGACCTTGACCTTAGAGATTTCCGGACTTTTGAAAAAACATGAACCTAGGCAATATCTTTTCAACGGTTAGTTCTACGGCTTCCATAATTCACCTATATATTCTTTGTGGCCATACCATTTATTGGATATGAATAACCTTGACCTTTTGACCATGACCTTAGAGATTTCATGACATGAAAAAAACATTTACCTTGGAAATAACTTTTGAACGTTGAGGTCTAGGGCTTTCATACTTCACATATGCAATCCTTTTGACAAGACTTTTATTCAACACCAATAACAGTGACCTTCTAACCCTGATCTTGGAGTCAGACGTTTTCTTAAATTTTTTTAGCCTTTGTCACAATTTTCAACGGTTAGCGCTAGGGCTTTCATACTTTACATAAGTATTCTTTGTGGCAAGGCTTTTCGTTGGATACAAATAATATTGACCTTGAGGATTTCTGAACTTATGAAAAAAAAAAAAACTTTAACTTGGCCATAACTTGGGAACATATGATAATAAGGCTTTCATATTTCACAATCGTATTTCCTGTTAGGAGACCCTAATTGGGTACCAAATAAGAAAAGTTTAATCTTCAGTATGTTGCCATATGAGGGCATCGGTGTTTTCAGAGAAAAATCTTGCTTTACTTGTATCCTCTATAATAATATTTTTCTTCACCCTTCGAGCAATTTAATATAATATATAAAGTCTTTTGAAATCAATATCAGGTTTTTTAGGGTTAGTTTACGTCAATGTTAAGGAAACCAAAAAGGTAAGCCTGTACATCGAGGTTCTCTGGTTTTTCTCAGAACATCGCTCAATTTTGAGTTACAGTCAATAAACACAATAAATGTGATTAGCAGTGTAGTACATTGTTCCTTCTGTGCTAGAGGACATGTTCGCAAGTTCAACATCAGATCATGGTAAAAGTGGGTAATTCATAAAGTGAATGTAAAATTTCAAATTATTGAGTTCTTCTAAAGAACCAGTAGGTAAATCTCAACCAAATTTGTCTCAAAGCATCCTTGAGTGAAATGGAATTTAGGGCTTGTTCAGTTTTTTTTATTTTAAATCATACCTAAGTGGATCCTTGACAATGATGTATTTTTAGTGAACTGTTTGTTTTAAATAGACCGGGTCTAATTATTTTTGCCCTAGGGATTTTGATTATTTTTGATAATTAATTAATATTATTATTTGGCAAAAGTGTACTGTCGCACAGATGACTGTATGAAATTAAAAAGCTGCGCAAAGTCATGCGCGCTCGAATTAGAGCCCCCTTTCATAAGATAAATTATAAGGACTGGAGTCACCCTTTTAAATGTTGATTATTGTGTATTTGTTTGTTTGTCACAAAACAACTGATAGTGCTCTGATTTAAATGGTCGCCATCGTGTCACGGTGATTAGAGCGTATGCTCTAGAGTGGCAGGGTAAAAATGGTATCCTTTCGTCTCGGGTTCGAATCCAACTGTGGGACGTGGAGACCGGCATTTCGGATGAGACTCTATAAACTGAGGTCACATGTCGCAGGATGCAAGCATGAAAGATCTCTCATTGCTCAATAGCTCTGAGTGCTGATCATAGAACAAAATTTGTAGCACCCCATCGGCAAGGGGAGGTGTCTCCATATGAAATAAAAAAATTCTCAAATGGGGCGTCAAATACCATACAATCTAATTTAAATGCAGGCACTTAAACAAAACTGACCAAAACCTGAGGTGTTTGTACATGAAAATAAATATTCTGATTAGAATAAATTGTCAGTCTCCCTTGAGAACAACATGTAAATAGAGGAGCCCTTTTCACATTGTAAATAGAAAAAAATCGAATATTGCAACGTTAAATCTGCCATAAAAAGCTAATTTCTGCAGGTGTTAAAAATTAAAACAATGTTTTTTGTTTGTTTATTGTTTAATGTCCCTTTCGAGAATATGGGGATGCAATCATTTGCCAATGGTGAGCTGTTCATTTTAACCTATTCTCGGCACTCACGTCCATTGTGCAATGAGGGATATTTCTGTGCCAACATCTACTGGAACAAGGGCCCTCCGTTTATACAGTCTTATCCGAAGGACCGGTCTCCATGTCCGACAGTTGGATTCGAAACATTGACGTAAAGATCAACTCCTTACTCTGCGACTCTAGAACATACGCTCTACCACTTCGCCAAGCGGACGACATTTAAACAATGCAACTAAGAAAGAAAAGAATTGAAAATAAAACATTTTGTTACCTCTTGCGTCAACGCCTTGTTAAATCTGATAAAAATGATTATATAATAAGTACGTTTTAAAAATGTATAAACACTACACTAGATTTCCCGCCACCAACTGTAACTTGTATAATGATTAGTGTGAAACATAGGAGCACCCTATGTAAGTTTGCAGATGACGAAATCATAGTCCACAAATGTCTACCCAAAAGCCTATGCTTTAGAATACTAGTAATAAAATTTCACACCATTAATTTTTATGCAATAAGCGTATGTCATGAAACCAATGATATGTCGCAATATTTATCGACACCAGAAACTTCCATAAGGCTGTATCTATCGACAGTGGAAACTCCAATAAAGCAGTACTTGTAATCTATTATTCTGTGTAATACGCCCTCTGTAGAGAGATTGACAATGTGTGTAATGACACTGGACAAAGATATGCATAATTTACTATCATCATCTCATTTACATTACTTTTTGTATATCTTAGATGGAAACATGTTAACCATTTTAAAGTTCTTTCATTACTTCGGTTTACTTTTGCCAGGATGAATTTCTAAAAACAACTTTCAAGACCATCCTAAAAGATAAAGGATTATTATACTTTATTTATGTTTTGTCCTTTTGACTTATGAGATTTGATCCTGAGCTTTTGATCTAGTTTTTTATTCATAAAATTCTACATCATTTGTAAGTTTGAACCTTAAATCTGGATTCTACGATGTAAATTGAACTTTATTCAATTGAAAAAATCGCAGATAAATTCCACTGAATAGGATTAATCCAGGAAATATATTTTGTGGCGAAAGGTTTTTCGAAGAAAATGATCGATTTTTCTCTTTTAAATCATGAACACGACTATTAATTTTACCCCCGGAAGGAGAGGGGTATATTTTTTTTACCCTTGTGTGTCTTTCCGTCTGTCCTTCCGTCTTTCCGTCCGTAACAAATTTTTGACGCAGTTTTCTCAGCAACTGCTCATCGCACATGCTTGAAATTTTGAGACATACTTTTCTGATTCATGCCTTATGTTGGGATTTATTTTTGTTTAAATCTGATATCAACTTCCTGTTTATCCATGCGTCTGTCCGTTTCACACATAAAAAAATTTCATCGCAGTTTTCTCAGCAACTACTCATCGCAGATGCTTTAAATTTTAGCACAATTTTCTCTGAGCCATGCCATATTGTGGTATTAATTTCTTTTCAAATCTGATGCCAACTTCCTGTTTGTCCGTGCGTCAGTCTGTTTCATACATGTTTCATGCATAACAAATTTTTGACGCAGTTTTCAAAGCAACTTCTCATCGCAGATGCTTGAAATTTTAACACAATCTTCTCTGATGCATGCCATATGATGGGATTCATTTTTGTGCAAATTTAAAACTTCCTGTTTTTCCTTACATCTGTCCGTACACACATAACAAAGTTTCATCTCAAATTTCTCAGCAACTTATCATCGTATAGGCACGATATTTTAACACAATTTTTTTCTGAGGCATGCTAAAATATGATGTCAACTTCCTGTTCGTATGTGCGTCTTTCCGTTTTATGCATGTTTTATGCATAACAAATTTTCGTCGCAGTTTTTCTCAGCAACTACCTATTTCAGATGCATGAAATTTTAGCTGAATCGTCTCTGAGGCAAGCCATATAGTGTGATTCATTTTTGTTAAAAACTTCCCGTTTTTCCGTGCATATGTCCGTACATACATGTTTCACACATACCAAATTTTTCTTACAGCTTTCAAAGCAAATACTCATCGCAGAGGCTTGAAATTTTAACACAATCTTTTCTGAGGCATACCATATGGTTGGATTTATTCTTGTTT